ATTCACTCGATCGTTGCGATGTTTCCACAATCACGGATGGTTCAATGGCTTGAGGTTTTAGGCTTTGTTAATGACCCGTGTGTGTGTTGAATGGTATGAGTGGTGAAAGAGTAGGCCAATGTTCGGAATCGATTCTTTGCGTCAAGCAGACGTCTGGTTTATCGTGTAGTGGGGGGCAGTGTATCATACGTATCAGTTGATTCTTCTTTCAGTAGTTGGTTCGGACTCGACGGACGTTGGTGAACGAGTAGATGCGTTGTTGTAGCTGAGATGACCGTCTGGTAGACGGCGTTAGAAGCACGCCCGCAGCGGCGCGGTTGTACGCGGACTCGGTAGGTAATGCGCGCAGTGCGTCTGCGAGCAGCTGGCACGCTGGTGCTCCGTCGTCGGCGGTTGTAGATTGCAGGCTCACGATTCGCTCGTGGTGGCGCTGGCCGCTAACAGCGGCAGCGGGACGCCAATCGGCGACACTCGCCAATTCGGCGAGTTTGTAGAGGCGTCTCCGGCGTCGGTGATGGCTGGTCTTCTGCTGAGATGAGTTGAGATGAGTCTTCTTCTGTTGAGCTGAGTTGAGATGAGTCTTCTTCTGTTGAGCTGGCCCCGAGGGCTGATGAGCTGGTCCCGAGGGCTGATGAGCTGATTTCAATGCTGAAACGGCTCTTTTTATGCCAAAAATCTCTCTCCTTCTCGGCTCCCCCTCACGAGGTGGCGCTATCTTTGATCTGATCGTATGTCGGTGGGGGGGGGGGTGGTTCGTGTGTCGGTGGTGGGGGGGGGGTTCGTGTGTCAGTGTGTATGTTTGTGTGTGTGTCATTTATGACACGGTCCTGTTCGGGTCTTTCCTCAAGCCATAAACATCAAGACAACAGACACCTCGATTCATCTTGGTGGCGTCTGGTTGTCTACTCCCTCCACCCAGAGAGAGGGGCGGGTTCCCCCCCCCCCTTTTCCGTACGCGTTCCGACGCACGAAGAAATGGTTAAGATTTTTTTTAAGTTTAACATTTCACATCACAGTTGGTATCTTATCATACACAGTTATGATCCTGCTTGTGATTCATAGTATTTGATTTATTTCCAAGTGAAGATGCTCTTCCGAGCGTATGCATTTTATCACGTGCTGCAGGGAAAGACAAAGGTGGCCGGGATCTTCCCATCTCTCTATACTTTTCAAATATCATTTCGACTCCACATTCTACCAGCCTAATCCACCCCGTTACCTTGGCTCTTACTTAGTTTATTAATTTTCGTCACTTTGTGCGTTTATAAATGTGTGACAGTTTAACTTAAAGCTCGCTCGCTCTTTTGCTGCCCGTGTGCAGGGTGGGGTGGGGGCTACTACTAAGTTCCGTGTGTGGCAGATGGTCCCCGCGATAACGATCTGGTTGCCCTGGCGTGAAATTCCTCTCTCGCGCTCTTCGGGAGAGACAAAGGTGGTCGGGAGCACCTCTTTATACTTTCGACTTATATTTCTCAAATACCATTTGGTCCCATGTTCGCCAAGACTCGTGTTTGTAACTACGTCCTCCCGACACCTCTCGGTTTTACCGAGGTTCGAATTGTTATGATGGAATTATTAAAAAGAAAAATCATTATCATCCTGAGTTTAAGAGGTCCGTTTCTTGATTGTTGGAATCCATATCCCTTGGTTCTGTAAGGTTCTATAATGGAATGTCGTGTAAGGTTAACACGTTGTTATTATTAATATTATATTGCAATTTCCTTTAAAACTTTCTTTGCCTGGTTGCCGTGTGTGGGGTGGGTGTGTCTCCTCATCAAACCCGGCTGGCTTTTCCAGATGGCCCCTTGTGATAAGGTGTAATTCCTGCTTCTCCGCGCTGTGAGAGAGACAAAGGTGGTCGGGGTTGCTTGGAATATTGTTTAAACTCTTTCGCAAGTTTGCCCGTTGTCTCATTCCTTCTCGATAACCTTTGATGTGACTCGGTATTCTTGCTCCAAGCTTTGTTTTAACAGTAAAAGTATTAAAGGTGAAAATCATTTGATAGCGAATTAATCATTGGATAATAATTCACTGATGTGTCTGGTGGCCTGTTCTTAATTGGAGTGAGCGTTAGGATCGCTAATTTTATCTTATTCTTGTTGTTGCCTTTTAATTTTTTTGTTGTTTTACTGGAAAATAAGGACAAGAATATGTATACGATTTACCCTGTTGGCGTCTGGTGTCTGCTCTCTTGGTGTTCTGACCTCGGAGGGACCTTTCCTAAGGGGCCCATCAAACTCTTGTTCATCTGGAGATTTTCGCCGATAGCTGTTACATCCTCGCCTTGAGAGTTTTATTATTTCTTTATATCTCTATATGGCCTGTTTATGACCGACACCTGGTTTTTCGTGTGCCTGGCTTACGGGTTTTATTAATTATTATTTTTTCGTTTGTTAAAAAAATATGATATATATAACGGCAAATATTATTGTTAATATCAATTTTGGAAAAGGCTCATATACAACACAATGGGTAACCAAACCGGTTCAGAGTTTTCTTCTGTTCAACTAATGCTGCTGAAATTATGCACCCCCAAAAGGCAGTGTGGTTGATGAGATGTGTAGAACATTTTTTTTATTTGCTTACGTGGAGGGACAGATATGGGAAGGTGTATTGTCGAATTATTTATCTTTCATTAACGACGTTAATGGCGTTGATTATTTTGTGGCGTGTACAGCTTATATTAATTTTCTCAAGAAGCTCACATGTTGATGAAAACTGCTGCTCTTGCATGTTACTTGCATATACATTTGTTTATTGCAAGTTAATCAGAAATAAAACAATGTTGAAATTTGAGCATTTTGTTGTTGAGGTCATACACTGAACATTTTAAATTGAGTATTCAAACGACAAATAATACAACCTTTTTTGCAGGAAAAATGAATTCCAAGACATTTAGAAATAAAATTATGATCTCCAATAAAATAGTTTTCATCACATCACTTGCAGCAGTGCTTCTTATATATTGTTCAGCTGAATATTTTAAGGTAAGCACTGCCAACCATTGACGTTGGAAGATGTCTGCAAGTCGAGGCGTTATGTTTTTCATGCGACTATTCAATCACCTATGCAACAATACTTTTTATTTTCAAGGTCACGTAACTATGTCCAAAAATTATGTTGTATTATGCATTTACCATACAAATGCACACCTTTAAAATAAATGTAAACCATTGCTACAATGAACACGTTGACTGGTTTCAACGGTCTGAATCTCATCAGCAGTCAGGTATACTGCTGTGTTTTCTGAAGGCAGAATACGGAAAAACTCTACAAAATGTATTATGTGCAGCCTTATAGCGGTTTGCTGGCAATAATTTAACACAATAATGAAATAGTAGACAAAGCACAAGTGCAATAAATAAAATGCTTGTAGGCTGCTCACCAAAATGTCATTTCATTTTTACATGTAAAAACATACTGAATATGAAAACTTGTACTATCTTTTTTTAAAGGTCCACACTATGCTATCGACACTCAAAAAGTCAAATGCAGTCTATAGTTTTCCCTGTTTATAGAAGTGCTGCTGGAAAAAAAAAACATAGATTGAGGGCCATAGAGTAATGGTCAAATATATAATCTAATATTTACTAGTTGGCATGTGGCCGCATCTGCCACACTTAAGGAAGTTACGCTACCTGCTGCACATTTGATTCCATGCTTTTATCACCTTAACTCAATAGGGAAGTTCACCCTCTGTAGACACTGACCCTTCTTCTTAGGTCCCTTCCTCCTTCATCTGTATGCCCCACCTCCTTAGTCATTAGGCACCACCTTTTTCTCTTTCAGATCTGCACCTTTCCTTTTTAGGCCCCGCCCATTCTTTCGTACCCTCCTCTTTCTGTTTAAGCCCCGCCCCCTCCCATCAATCACAGGGTTGGGTTGGTTTAGGTAGTGATGGGGGTTGTCGTAGGCAGGAGGTAGGGGGGGGTGTGGGCGCGTGGCAGTGGCATTGCTGGGCGGGGACAGTAGAGGTAGGACGGCTTCACGACCACCAAAATCTCCCAGAGCAGTGCAATATTTTACGTGGTGAAACAAACCCTTCTGTGATTGTCTTTGATACACAATCTTCAGAACAGCGCATTAAATGCTTTGCTTAATTTAGTAACTTATAACATGTCAATGCCCTAAATAAATCGTATTTGCGATAGCTGTGTTTGAAATACGAAAAAAATCCCTCTCTTTCTTCAGAAAACATGGAACCTCAAATCAATACCACCAAAAGCTCACTACCAAAAGGCATCATTACTTCCAACAAAAGGTAAAATCAGTGGCATATTGACATATCCTGCAACAAAACAGAATAATAATGCAATTTATAACGCGCGCAAATTTGTGGACGTAACGGCCGCAACTCAGAGGCGCGGAGCCAAGCTCAGAGTCACCCAAAAGCATGGTTATAAAATACCCATTTCAACCAACATCACTTGTTCTACATCTGCCAAGAACAGTCGAATCAAAATACTAAATAGAGGAAAACCTCACACCGTTGGAGACACACTCCATGCTCAAGTGGAAATGTATGACTTTACGAACAGAAGGAAGCTCTACGGTGGGGATTTCCTCCTCGCTCGGATTTTCAGTCCACGCCTTGGGGCTGCGTCTTCTGGCGTGGTGACTGACCTTGGCAATGGTGTGTACGATGTGAGGTTCACGCTCTTCTGGCCAGGAGACAGCAGTCTGGCCTTCACGCTCGTGCACGCCAGTGAGGCCGTGAGCGTGCTGGACAGAGTCCGAGAAACCGTTCCAGATAAAGTCACTTTCATGGGGACTTTTGTCAGTGGGAAGTCAAGCGAAGTCACCCAATGCCACATTTTTCTAAACACTGCCAAGCAAGTCTGTGATTTCACTGATCCACATTTGCATGAACCATGGATGTGTGAAAAACCAAGAATGCTTCCTTGTTCATCTCTTCTCACTATGAAATCACTAAGTAAGTATGGGAATGTTTTTAATGAAGAGGAAACTAAGTTTTTTACAAGGTAAGAACATATACACTCACATTATATTCGGTGCATTGCTCTTTTACCTCCAAGGTATAGCCATGTTTACAGTAAGCATTCTAAAAAATAAAGACTTATCGATTGTGAAAAGCCACATGATGGACGAAGAGTTATTTTCACACTAATGTATAACAACCTTCAAGTTTGCAAATAAAGACACTACCTGAAACGACCAGGCAGACATGATTTTGTTGAATTCCCACCATAATGCAGTAGAGTGGCTCTGAATGCCTCGTCAATAGCACTGAGAACAATGCCATGCTCATCTCCAATATCGCCAAACCGTGATTCAATTTGTTCTGTAGGAAAACTCACGATTTGTATGAAACGATTTTATAGTCCCACCCCAAACTCAACCTCAGTCCCTCCAAATGTCCGCCATGGGCACCTAGAGGCGGTGGAGTGTGCTACCATAGTGGAACAAAGCAAAACACCTGCAATTGCCAATGGAATATTTAGGTCCACTGTGCAAAATAGGCCACTGTTCTGTTCATTGTTGCAATCAATTCACTGTTGTATAGCTTCAAGCCGTCTCTACCTTTCACGATCCTGTTGGGCAGCAGCAATACACCTCCAACCTGCGCATGAACTGATCTCATTGCCACATGCCCTCGGTGGATGTCCTCTTGCATGCGTTCCCACGGTAGAATAGCAGACACTAAGTATAATGCACTTGATATTTTCTAGCATTTATTTACTGAACTTTTTGCGAGTAAATGTTATGTTGAATGTATACACAATACTGGTTCTTAATGTCTCATTATTCTTTGAACAGTACATTTTAAAAACACTTTGCAGTGTAATTTTATACATAAAGGCTGTCTTTGTCAGGAGAAAGTTTTAAATTAAAATAATAAATAACCTGATATGATTTTTTTACAATTTTTATCTACAATCAGACACTAACTACTCCCAAAAATTTTTTTTCCACAAAAAAATGGTTGACGACTTGATTCAACTTCTTAGATTTAAAGATATACCCATCGGAAACCGCTCAATTTAAATATACCGTTTTTTATTAGAAAGAATACAAATTTATTAAGTTAATGCTCTTGGAGGGGAAGCTCCTACATTTTTCCTTTTTCGAATTATTCAAATTTGAACACCATAAAATGCGTATTTTTTTCGTTCAAAACCGCTTCAATTGCATTTGCTGATTAACGCTCTATATAACGAAAAAACCCACAATGTTATATTTTTTATGCTTTCTGAATGACACGCACAAACATATCTATGGGGCACATAAAATCGGGATTTCGGGGCCTTAAAATGAAAAATCTTGGATTTCAAATTTGTTCATGTTGTGTATGTCCCAAAAGCTACCGATGTACCAAATATCAGCTTTCTACCTTGTCGAGAAGTATCCTCGAGGTTTTTGAGACATACAGATTAAGGTATTAAATTATATAGACACTGTTCAAACAACGGTGGCACAATAAATATAAAATACTTTTTGGAATTTCTATTGCAGGGATCGTATATGGGTGACAATTCCAATGTCATACAAAATACATGTTGCACCATCAACGGGTAAGAATGTATATATGCACCATAATTTACTACTGTATAATTATGAAATGGACTAGTTTATACCGGCTTCGCTGAATAATGTTTTAATGTCTGTGATATCACGCTCGATACCCTGGGGGTGTCTCAGCTTTTTACATCACATCTCATTTCAAGCATATGAAAGGACACCCCCAGTGGCAGCTGTCCCAATGACTTAGCACCTGGCAGAGATGCCCTTCTGCCGGTATTGGACAATGATTACTCTTCGTGTAATTTTCTAATTTGCGAATGCCAGGTAATCTTTAACGTCCACACTGAAGCAGATGACATGTATTATGGTTATTATGCCCACATTAATAATTACTCAGGGCAGTCGCGGGATTCGAACCATGGACTTCTGCCACAAGTGGCGAACGTGCTAACGCTTAACAACGTCACCGCCCAGAGTTGCCCCAATTAATTTCAATTACCTACTCTTGTGCCAGTGACGAGTAGAGGACCGGCCCCAGGTCCTCTTAATTGGGGGGGGGGACATTAGAGCTGTCGTGTAAGCCACCATTGCAGGGATATCTACTGCTAATAAGAGGAAACTTGGGCACTGGCCCTGGCCCTGTGTGGTATCATATGCATTGCATGTACTGTGTGATAGAACACAAATTATACCTCGGAAGTGCATGGGCCCTGTACATATGGAAACATTGCTCACATCAATTAATACGATCCAATAGGGAACTCATCTTATTTACAAATGTTTTGTATTGAATGACCCACATTATGGGATAAATTCTAGTCATTTTTTTAATGTAGTTTGCTGTTTGGTAAAATATACTTTTTAAAAATGTTTTAACATGATGGTCACCAGTGTTGTGGTATAATAAATTATAAACATCGTGTTCTTGTAGGTTGTTTACCCATTATAGTTTAATGGATTTTGCACTGGTTAAAAAAGAGCTCCTGACATAAATCATTCTTTACTCACAAATTATGACTGTTGAGCCAAATATTGTCAATGTCAATAGATTTTTCTTTAAACTGTTACTCTTTTTATAGGTTTACTTCAGAGAAATACACATTGCGTTATGGGATTAGGGAATCCAAGTCCAGCTGGATATTATTTTAAAAACACATGGAAATCTTCTTACTGCAACAATGCATATTTTAGTTCGCCATCATCTGTCAAGAACTGCTTGAAGGGAAAACAAATATTTCTCCTCGGTGATTCAACAATTGGGCAGTGGTTCAAATATCTTAATCATTTCACCAAAGGTAAGGATGCTTATTTACTTGTACTTATAAGAAAATGTACCTGGTAGGCGCTTTGTTTTCATACCCAGGCTGATGGTACGGCCCCACCTCCAAGTGGCATGCTCCTGGTTCAGCAGAAGAGTCTTCAAGACTCCTCAGAGTGAGCAGCAATTACCAGATCAGCAAACAGCATACTTGGCCAGTATAGGGAGCCATTGCTTGACTGCACCTAGGCATCGATGAACCTCCCACTGTGTCTGTACCAGATGGAAGTTTAATTTGAACAGTCATGGAAAGCTTTTCAAACTACGTGGTACATTTTTTTAAAGTGGTCTAGGTGTCTAGTGACCCCCAAATAATTGACCCAAATTTTTTCCCCTTTTCATATTCATTTCTGTTTACTTTAACAATATTCCGTTTTATAGAATTAAATGAGGGTCACAAGACATCTGGACGACCCAAGGTGAATAGGAAACGGTTGTGACTAATGGCCAAGCAGCTTTACCCGGGCCTGGCCCCCAATCGTTAATGTCTCTAAATGATTACGAAAAGCGGGCATGGCCTAGCAAGTCGGCGTGGTCTTGGCGGTGTCTAAGAGACCTGCAGCCTTCACAGGAAGCGCTACCTGGTGGATAGATTTTAAATGATGTGTGTTGCTTTTCTTACAGGTTTCAAGATTGTAGATCGTGACCTACCTGGAAAAGATGTGCAAAATATTGCCGATGATGAATACAACATTACATTGAATTGGTTTTATCACAACTACCCTTTTATTGCCACGAGAATAACCTTCAAAAAAGACTTCAGATACATAGCTCAGAGAATTGATAACATCACCGGTGGGAGCGATACGGTCATAGCAATCTCCCTCGGCGCTCATTTCACACCCTTCCCTCTGCACGTGTTTCAAACGAGAATGCACAACATTAAAGCGGCAGTGGAGAAACTCCTGATTCGGAGCCCTGAAACGAAGGTCATCGTTAAATTATCCAACGTGAGAGAAAACAGCGGAGTGGCGATCTTTAATAACTGGAACACATTTAAGCTTAACCAAGTCCTCTTGGAAGTGTTTAAAACCATGAATGTGGCATTCATTGATGCGTGGGACATGACTGCTGTACTTAACTCTGCTAAAATTCACCCAAATGAGCATATTATAAAAAACCAAATTGATTCATTTTTATCTTTTATTTGCTAATCTTATTTTAACGTCTTGTGTATCTAACTTGCGAATTACAATCAAAGACAATACGTAATTTTTTTTGTTAATACAATGATTCTCGCTTTAACTTTTACTGGTTATGTTTTAATGTTTATGTCGGGTCTCAAAATTCAGATCTCACCGCAGGATGCAGTTCTTATATTTAAGATTATTATGCATGAACTTAGGAAGGAACCATTCAGACTGTGATAAGCAACTTTAATATCTAAAAAATGGATGAGCTGAGTCGGCACGACGCTTGTCTTTGAAGGTGCCCGATTGCGCTCGCATCTCGTCCGCAGGTCGCCGGGGCCGGCACTCTTGCTCGGCTGTGCCGGTCACGCTCTCTCCCTTGCACCAGGCACGGTTGGTCCTTGTAGACTTGACCTTTGCAGGAGTGTGCTCGGCTTCCGAGTCCGCACGCTCGTGGGTAGTCGTGAGCCGCTGCTGCTGCTGCTGGTCCTGTGCGATGCTCGCTTGGTTGATGCTTGGCGCTTTTCCGCCCTTTCTCCAGGTTGATTGCTTGTCGTTGCTCGTCACTCTTTCTCTCTCTTTCTCTCTTGCTGCAGCTGCTGGTGGGAGCTGGCACTCAATGTAGAATAAAACTTTTAGCGATGTTTCGTCTGTCAGCGCTGAACTCATACTCGGTGACACATCGCGACTCTGCAAGCCTCGCCATCCTTGGTCGATTGAGGGGCCCACCCCCGGAGCTTGCCGCAGTAAGAATTCGTAGACTCGTGGCTTCTACCGATGCAGCTCCCTATCGATGTGTCTGTCATGGGGGCAGATTCCCAGAGCCTGCCGCTTGCATAACTGAATTGTGTGTGTTGTGTCCCTGCTTATATCTGAAATTCTCTCCCCTCGGCTCGCCTTCTCACAAAGGACCGGAATTCCTTTGATTTCGCTCTCAGCTTGTGGGGGCAGTTGTTTGTCCGGTGTACGTGTGTATGTGTGTGTTTATGTTCTGATTTATTAAAGTAACTGTTAAGTCTCATCAAGGCCTGGTTCCTGTCCCCCTCATCAATATGTGAGGTGAATAAGGGTGAAACAAAATAAGTAATAATAAAAGCCACTATTGTAGAGTGCAGTCTATAATGTCAATTTGTTCTTGTTGCTAAGTTTCAAACTTTTACCGAAGTAAAAAAAAATGCCAGTTGTAATGTCCGATTGTCCCTGCTCTGTGTCTGTGTTTTACGGCTCTTGCCCTGTGGAGATTTCCCAGATTGTCATGAACTCCCCCCCCCCCTTCCTTGCCTGGTGTGGCTTGTGAGAGGCAGCTGCTGTTTGAGGGGTGTCGGTTCGTATCACCCCCTTTGGGCCCCAACCTACATCCCGATTGATTATTTGTATAAATATTGGCAGAATTATTCTTAATATCAATTTTGGAAAAAGGCCTATATATCCAATAGGGCCCCTCTTATACTGTCAGCGTGGCCTGGCTCCGCCCCCGGCCACGCCCCCTTCTGGAACCTACTAGCGGGTTCTCGATGTGCCCCTTGCGTAACCTTTCTCCAACATGCCTCTCTGGTCTATCACGTGACCTGCTGTCAGTCAGGGCTGCTGTTAGCTGCAGATCCCCTTCCCTGCCAGCAGCCTGCGCTATGCTGCTACGTGACCGATTCTATGTCACGACACATGCATAACGCACAGGGGCTCACTCACCTCATAACACTGCACACAAACAACCTGCTTAATCACCGTCCTTACACCTACTGGCTATACTTCACCTGTAAATGAAATCTCGAGTACATTTGGTTTTCGTGCCATTCCTATAGCGCAAGACTGTCATGAGAGTGTTGTTGTCTCACATAGTCTGCAGCTGTTTCGGAGTAAACGTGAGCATTTTCATGGTACATTTTCAAATTTAGAAGAAAAAATGGGACCATGATGCCAACACACAATGGCCTAATTTTTTTTAATGACGTCAAGCCGTTCTTTAATGCCCACTGAATCAGACGGCAACATAATTTTACAGTTAATACGTCTGCAATTATAACCAGGACGCCCTCCGGGATTTCAACCGCGAACCTCTTCAATAATTAATCGGTGAACGTGCCACCGCCTGGACGTTACCTCTCCAGGGGTGTGAAGATGGTGGAGACGTTAATCTCCTTGGCAAGGGGGTTTTGGGTGGTTCGTGGAGGTGTGGCTCGAGCAATGCGTGATGATGGCGATGGGTGGTAAAGTGGTGTGGTTGGACGTACGATTGACATCCTCGGAATGGTGTACGATCCGACCGAAACGAAGCCAACACAATTACCCGTGTGTAGGTGTGGTACAGCTGGCACAACGGGTGGTGAATCAAAGGTGGCGTGTGCAACACAAGGGGCGTTTTACGTTCCGCAGTTCAGCAAGACTGATTCCGTAATTGTGGTGCAGCGTGCGTTTCAACGGCATTTTGGCATTGATCCGCCAATGTCAAAGAGCATTCGTCGTTGGTGCCGACAATTTGAGGAAACGGGCTGCTGTTTATGTAAGGGGAAGAGCACAGGGCCACCACGCACCTCAGAGGAAAACGTGAGAAGAGATGCGTTTGGGACGAATTCAACTATCGTCTCGATGTTGTCCGTACAGCAGGTGGAGGGCACATAGAGCATTTATAAAATGATTAGTAAAACTTGATAACTCATTAAACCCTTTGTAACTTATTGTGTGATTGTAACATGTTGCCATCGTGAAATATACTGCTTTGAAATTGGGTCCATATCTTTGAAACACCCTGTACAGGACCCAACATTGTGACCTCTGCTTAAAATCCAATCTCACATTACTTGATGCAAGTGTAGTGAGTCTGAGTCGCAGACGTTCATTTTAGAGGCAACACATTTATTTGTAACACGTAACACAAAGGGGTCCATAATAAAGGTTTTTGGGTTAGATCGCGTTTATTTATAAATGTGTCGTAACCCTCCACCACCCGACACGGCCAATCAGCAAAAAAAAAAGTGTCACGTTGACAAAAGACAAATAATTCACTACTTTAGCCCACCGGTGTGTTGAAGAGTGAATCCATATTTACAGTTTGAGTACGACGTTTCGCTGGTAAATACATCCAGCATCATCGGGCAATTCGCCAGAATGGTAAAGCCCTCGCTTGCTGCCGGTTATATATAGAGCAGCAGGGTGACGTCATCACTTAACTCATATCAGGTACAGTGATTAGAGGCGGAGGGGGGGGGGTATTGTAATCAAAATGTAATGTGTATTATTTAATAATACGCTTCCAGGCCGCACTAAGCCTGTAGCTGTCAGAGCGATTAAAGTTATTCTTGTTCCTCTCAATTTCAATGGATTCTCTAATTAGTCTTTGCCAGTAATAATTAGTTTTACACACCACTGCAACATTGTCAAAATCAATTGAGTGTCCTTGTTGACAAGCATGTTCTGCCACTGCCGACAGTTGTGTTTGAGATCATTTAATATTTCTCTGATGTTCTTTTAGTCGTAGGCTGATGTTACGTCCCGTCTGCCCAATGTAGCAGCTGCCACATAAACAATTAATCCGATATACACCTTCTGTTGATAATTTAGGTAATGCGTCTTTAGTGCAAGAGAAATATTAAATTATCTCAAACACAACTATCGGCAGTGGCAGAACATGCTTGTCAACAAGGACACTCAATTGATTTTGACAATGTTGCAGCGGTGTGTAAAACTAATTATTACTGGCAAAGACTAATTAGAGAATCCATTGAAATTGAGAGGAACAAGAATAACTTTAATCGCTCTGACAGCTACAGGCTTAGTGCGGCCTGGAAGCGTATTATTAAATAATACACATTACATTTTGATTTAAAGAATTACTAATCTACAACTCATTACTAATCATAACCAATGACTGATTACTAATCGATTATATAATTACAATACCCCCCCCCCCTCCACCTCTAATCACTGCACCTGATATGAGTTAAGTGATGTCGTCACCCTGCTGCTCTATATATAACCGGGAGCAAGCGAGGGCTTTACCATTCTGGCGAATTGCCCGATGATTCTGGATGTATTTACCAGCGAAACGTCGTACTCAAACTGTAAATGTGGATTCACTCTTCAACACACCAGTGGGCTAAAGTAGTTAATTATTTGTCTTTTGTCAACGTGACACTTTATTTTTGCTGATTGGCCATGTCGGGTGGTGGAGGGTTACGACACATTTATAAATAAACGCGATCTAACCCAAAAGCCTTTATTATGAATAATATTGGTCGCGAAAGCCTACGTGTTAAACTAACACAAAGGGCTAACTGCCCCTTCACCAGATACAGCCTAGGGTGGTAACCACCCAGATAACTACTCTATACAGAGGGGTTACTGCTACGAAGGGTTGGGTCCCTACTCGGGTCCGCGACCACGTGTTTGCCTCGAAGACGTAGGGCTTCCAGCTTGAGATGTAGGCTTCAGCTGGTGGATGTGGAGCTTCAGCTTGTAGAATGCAGCGACCCCGGTCCCTCTCAGGGACCCGCCTTATATCCCCCGACGGTCGGGGCTGCTCCGCCCTTGGCCCCGCCCGCCTTCTGGAGCCTTCTAGCTCCCTCTCGATCCCTCTCGAAAGCTCTCCCTGGACACGTGATCACCCCCTAGTCGCCCTACCTGGGGGCCTCTTTATGGACACTCTAGATCACGTGTCTGTGGGGTCAACCAGAGTGCCATGGCTCGGGGCAACCCTGCCCCTGGGCTGACACTCTCCCGCTCCCCCTCGTGGGGGCCTGGACTACACGCCGTGCGTGGTGCCGGCGCTATCCCAGCGCTCACCAAGCCCCGCTAGGGCTGGTACTACACACAGCCACCCATGGGGTGCACGCGATGACGGTGCATCGCGTGCCCTGGCCCTCTCAGCCAGGCACCATGCAGTCACGACACAAGAATACACCTACATTGGACCCTGTTCATCCATAAAACCCTGATATGCAAATCTGCACTATCCTTAGCTAATAAACCCAATTGTCCAAGCCATGAAACCGAAGACGTCCATCTAAATTGTAATTTAACTATCCCAAGAAGAAGAATTGTAATAGGTGACACAATTTTCCGTTGCAGCACCAACGTTTTGGAAAAAAAAACCTTGTTTCCTCTCATCATAAATCTTCCTTCAAAAACATATTCTGAAGCAGAAGATTGGTGCTTTGTAGCTGTGTGTTGTCTTGGTGTGATCCGGGACTGTTTTTGTTTTTCTGCCTTGCCAAAGATTGCATTTGGTGTTGAAAAATCGGCACGAATCGATGTCCTTATGCAATTTGTACTGATATCCTTCCAATATTTACTGATTTAAAGCTTTCGTGACTGCAGGGATCCACCTTCTCGCATCTTTCGGTAAAGTCACGTAGAAGGGAAATAATAAAAATAAAAAAAACATAAAAAAAATATTTTAACTTTTATTATTTCCCTTCTACGTGACTTTACCGAAAGAACCAAGAAGATACATTTACTGACTCGCTTCGAATTTTGATTTAAAGCTTTTCGTGACTGCAGTAATTCATATTCACACGACTCGCTTCGCTTTCCTTTCCCGTGCACTATCCTCTCGTATTTTCGTTCCACTTCTTGCTGCTGTAACTCTCCGACCCGCCCCTTTACTGGACATCCGCGAAAAAGGAACTTCACAGCTCATATCGGATTCTCCCAGTCAAAAACTAAAGATTCCTGACACGAAAGGAGAAACATAAATGCAAGTGTGGTTTTCTTTTGCTGCCGCGCGCATCGTGTCGCTCCCAGCGGATCCATGGTTCGGGGCCGCTGCTAAGTCGCGTCACGTGACCCCAACCGGATTTAGAGGATTTAAGAAGTCACGCGGCTCAGCTCCCCCTTTCCCCGTAGCCAATCAGCGCGAGGAATCGAAATCGGATTCGCCTCGGGATATCGGCGGGGGTGGGAACGGGAATCGATATCCCAGCCCGAATTTCAGCTCCGTCCGCGCGTAAGAATCGAATCGTACACTGTATCGATATCTGTAGATTCGATACACTGGTTGATTCCGGATCGCGCGTCCGCAAAGCGTGCAAAACGCGTCTCCCTCCTCCTCCTCGTCCTCCTTCCCTTCCGCCTCTGCTCTCACTCTGCCCTTCGCACGCCTCCTCCTCCTCCCTAGTCTCCCGCGCCCCTCGCCCTCGCTCCTTCCCCCATCGTCGCGCTCCCGACTCGCGACATGACGTCGTCGTGTCGTCGCGCTCGCCCGTGACGTCATCTCGGCGGCGGAGTGACGTCACGCGCCGGGCTCACAGGTGAGTTGTCGCCGTCAACGGCGCAGCGTGGCGGCTTCGCCGGCCGGTCGAACGTCCCGCACACACACACACACGTTGACGTTCGAGCGACGTAACGTGAAGCGTTGATGCACGCTTATCTCGTCCACCCCTCGACTTGTGTCTGTCCACGCTGCTGTGAAGAAGGAGGAGGAGGGGGAGAGTGATGTTTCGGCCGTGATTTATTGGCGCCGCGCGACTTCACTTAGCAGAACCACGGTCGCGGGAAGTTTGTCAGTGATCGTTCTCGTCAAACACTTGGCCCGAGCTGTGACCAACGAGGATGAACCAAAGTGTTGGCTGGAGATCAGCTGCCACAGCCATGAGCTTGCACTCAACACTTTGGCCGATTCCATGGGATCGGGCAGAGAGGGTTATTACTCTTTGGTTCTATTCGGTAAAGTCACGTAAAATAACAAAAATCACGACGTTTCGGCCACAACACAAGTGGCCTTCAGGTGAAGGGACCGTGCTGTCACGAGGACAGCGTTGTCCTCGTGACAGCACGGTCCCTTCACCCAAAGAAGGCCACTTGTGTTGTGGCCGAAACGTCGTGATTTTTGTTATTTCATTTTTTACCTACGTGACTTTACCGAATAGAACCAAAGAGTATGGATCCTTGCAGTCACGAAAGCTTCAAATCTAGAAAAGAGAGGGTTATTGCCGGTAACGTCTGGTCGGTTCGCCAGCAGTGGCTCAAGCAAAGCCGCCCGGCTCTGCCGATGAAACACGGAACATGGAAAGCGGTCCAAAGTTTTGCGTTGAAACGATGTTGCTGGATTCATTCACTACCTCCCGGCCGCCGAATTGTTCTCGGAACGATTCGCAGCATCCGATCGTTTGTCCTTGCAGGTATTTGCCAATATTGAACCGTGACACATTTATCTTCTTTGAGCAACCCTTTTCTGAGTTTGGCTGGTTTCTTTTCAAGGATAGTTCCTGAACAATAGCACGACTTTATAACTGAAGTTGAGCTGTATATTGGATCACATTTGCGAGGGTTGTTTTGCTCCGCGTTGAGAGACAAATGAGCAGACTGGACCTAGACGGTGATCGGGAGTATCACAAAGCTCTCTCCTGAAGCCCTCTCGTCGTGGCTGGCAGACTTCGACACTGGGTGTTTAGCTCCTGAACATATTGCCATCACACAGCAAGAATGTAACAAAGATAATACATTCATCCTTTTAACTTTTTTTTTCGAAAGCGTTCAACAGGAAGTGACCAAAAATCCTTGTGCAGCATCCTTTTTTTAAAATTCTGTAGTCTTGAGACCCGTAGAGGTTTTCTGGATAAATTCGTGAAATTGAGGTTAACGCTCGATTATCTGTGTGGTTGGATTTTCCGTGTCGGTGGATTAACCATGCTTGTGAAAAAGATTTACGTTAATACGGGTTCAATTGTGACCTACTGCTGCCCACTTATCCAGGGTCAGTGATTCAATGTCCATGGGTCCGCAAACATGTGGGCAAGTAAAATGATTAAGCAGCAATACAGACAGATGACACGTCTAAACCCCCATTCCACATGGAAAATTAATACGTATTTTTATAGACTATTTACATGTTTTGCATTATCTGTGTTTTTGTCTTATCCTAGACCCCGCTGCCAGATTATTAAGAGTTATTATTACTGAAATGTGTTATCTTTTTTTAATGGACTTTTGCTAGCTGCGATGAATTAAAAGGTATTTAACTGAAAAGATATACTCTTTGGTTCTTTCGGTAAAGTCACGTAGGTAGAAAAATAAAATAGTATATCACGACGTTTCGATCGCAACACAAGCGATCGTCCTCAGGCGGAAAAAAGAATCCAGCAGTGGAACTGCTGCCTTAAAAGAAAAAAATACATGAGGTGAGGTTTTGGGCAATGGTCCTTTTTCATAGCACATTCCATTTTGTGCTATGAAGATGGGCCATTGCCCGAAACATTACCAGTATAGAAATTGATATTGGTTATGTAAGCGCTGTTTTTTTTCCCCCCACAGACATGGAGGCCTGGACACCTGGTGCTTTTCTGTGCACAGAGCCATTCGTGAAACAGGAGCGTGACGACGACCATGGCTGTGAGATGTGGATGGAAGCGAATGTGAAGCAAGAAGAGTTGAGTGACACTGGTGAGATAGTGTTCACGCATTATGTGCATGTGTGCGCGTGTGTGTGAACCCGTAATCCTGAGTTTTCAGTAAGGAACCAAACATTTCGACTTGTTAGTGCGCCAACAATTATTGAAGCAATTAAATAACAGTGGGACCCTGTTTTTTCTTGGTGCTGGTAATCCATTCTACGGATTAACTTTGCCGGGAGCCAGACTGTTATTAACAAACGAATCTGAAAGCACGTAAGCTTGGATTCAGTGAAGCATAACATAACATCCTGGCACAGCATTCATTTGTGAATCCTGGAGCCTAACCTTAGATGGATCTGGGTGCCTTTTTCAGTTTTTATAGGTCTTACTGGAAGAGGCTGCATTGAGGAATATTTCTTGAATAAAATTGTACAGTTGACTGTTGTCCTTGGGCAGATCCTCTTTGCGGATTAATCAAACATGCCACCAAATTCACCATTTAATTTAATTAATAAACACAAGGCCATATTATACATAGGTAAATAATATACATCGCATAAGTTGCCATTTCATTCGATATATTTGTTTTATCTGAGTCATGTCACCCCCATTACTAAAGTCGATTGACAGTTTACAGTAAAAGTACCTCTGCTGCCCACTTTGAAAGGTTTCCCCATTCCTTTTTGCGTGTGTGTGTTTTTTGTTAAGTCAGCAATGTCAGGAGGTCACTTTTGCCATTAGCCTTGATGATTGTCGAATTTCCTGACTGTGCCATGCTGGTGCGATAATGTGTCCATTGCTTGTGTAGCTGTGCGAGACTGGGAGACAAGAGGGCCGCTCATCAAAACAGAGCATGGAGAAGAGAGCGCCGGCTGTGAGTGTGAACGTGTGAATTAACAGGACATCTGTATGTCAATGTCTATTGTTTGCATGTTGTATGTAAGCATGTTGAACTTATTTCTCACTACGTAGCCAACCATGCTAATCGGAGGTGCACTGCACCGTGATTCCAGGGATCCAGGTTCGATTTTTGGTAATGTGCACCATTTGTCGTTGATATTTTCAATTGGCATGGCCTTCCATAGGTAGACTCAGGCTAAAAAGGGTGTCTGGTGTGGCTGATTGCATGTTAGCATCAGCACTGGAAAGATTAATGCAACCTCGTGTGGTGATTGCCACATGACCCCCTCATGTGCCTTGTTGGCCTTAAAAGGTTGTCACTATCACCACTTGCCTCCACAGTCTTTAAGTGATATGTCTTGTTTAGAGGCATGACATTTTTTATTAAATGAGATTCTTGATAAAAGTTTGTAGAATGTAATGATAATGTCTTTTCAAAGATTATGCAACCCAAAAAAAACCCACCATTTTTATAGCTCAAGGCTGTCATAAAGATGCTATTTTTCACAGACAGTCTGCATTAGCTTCACAGTAGGGGGCAATGTTGCTGTCTTCCAAATTGTTGTTAATGTTTCAAATTTGGAAAATTAGCAAGATTTTGCTTGTACACAATGGCCTAACACTTCTTAAAGGACGTCACGGAATCTTTACGACCACTATAAAGCAGACGGAGTGTATTTCACAGTTTCAACACCTGCAGTATTAACCGGGGCAGCCTGCCAGTTTCGAACTGTGAACTTCAGCAACACCGGCGAATGCGCTACCGCTGGGCCATGTCACTGCTCAGAAAATATACACACACCAAGGCTGTGTGTGAACTTCAGCAACACCGGCGAATGCGCTACCGCTGGGCCATGTCACTGCTCAGAAAATATACACACACCAAGGCTGTGTGTGAACTTCAGCAACACCGGCGAATGCGCTACCGCTGGGCCATGTCACTGCTCAGAAAATATACACACACCAAGGCTGTGTGCGTGAGCTGTCTGACGCGTGTTTGAATAGTCGCCTTGTAAATTATGGCTTCCGTGATTCAGTGATATTAACATATTAAACATTATTTATCACCTCAGTCTCAGAAGACGACTTTCAGACCGAGAGAGAGGATCTTCAGACTAAAAGGGAACAGCTGAGGGCTTATCATTCTTCCTTGAGGCCTGCAGTGACGTGTGACCCACAGGGAGACCATGCAGTGATGGGAGCCTGTGCCGAGGTGGAGGTGGAACTGGGAGACATGAATGAAGGTGCTGTGTCTTGAATTATTTTTCCTATTATGCTTGTCACTGAGTGACTACAGTAAAACCTCGGCAATTCAGATTTCACATTGAAGTCACACCAGGTCGGATAAATAATAGAATAAGTATGTGCAGTATCCATATAGTCCTCACTGTCCCCTAGAGTGCATGGAAACAGTCCCTGTCCCACCACTGTACCTGCCATTTGTTACCAGCCTATTCTAGTTCCCTTACAGCCTTGTATTGGTGACAGTGTAATAATTTCAAGCTCCACGTATTTCTTCACAAAGTCCTCTACGGTGTGTTTTTATTTCTCCGTGTTCATGTTTACTCCACTGTTAAAAAGAGCACTTGGGCTTGGGCAGGACACATCATCACACGGGATGATGGCCGGTGATCGAGACTAATGATGAAGTGGCACCCAAAGGAGCGAACACGCCCAAGAGGATGTCAACTACGGAGATGGAGCAATAATATCAGCACGTGTGCAGGGGCTAGATGGATTGTGGCATCGCAAGACTATGAGAGATAGTGATGGTTTGGGGAGGCCTTCCTCCTGAAGTCCATCGATAATGGCTGATGATGATTTTCGTTGCAATGAGCACCGTCAAAAGGCTGCATCAGTAGCAGCTGTGCCTCCTGGAGTGGCGAGTCGATAGCAACGCTCTGTGGGTGCAGCAGGGAGCGGCAGGCTGGCATGCGGCATCTGCGGGCGGAGGTTTATGAACCGGAACTCGCTGCGGCGACACATGCTGCTGCACGAGGGAGACGTGGGCACCAAGAAGCACCAGTGCCGGCTGTGCCCGTACGCCACGGAGCTTGCCACTGAGCTGCACCAACACGAGAAGGCACACGCCGTGGGGCGCGTGCATGCATGCGGAGAGTGTGGCAGGGACTTCGTGATGGCCTCGCAGCTCAGGGCTCACCTCAGAGTTCACGCAGAGGGTATGCGCAGCAGGTGAGAACGCCCATTTTTTGCTTTTGTTTGTGTTATTAACAAGGAATTCAAATCCTGTCGGGGTGATTGTCTGAAAGACTACATCTGGTGTCTCACTCACCGGGGGGCTAATAATCGCCATGCTGGAGCACTGAACCCAATCTAAATAATAATCATACAGGAAAAGCTCTCTTATCCGGCACTTTACCATCAGGAATGCTCTATTAATTGGCATCTGTCATAGATGGCAATACAAATCTTCCTTCGCGTATCTTGAAAAATTCCGATTACTATCTGGCTTCTTGGAAGCTTCAGGACGCTGCCGAGTGGTGTCGCTAGCGGAAGACTAAATTGTAAACATCCTCCATTGTGATGGTGATGTGCTTGTGTTGTATCCTGACTTTATCACTGAATGTATCTCGCCCATCCTGCAACTATGGCTACCAATACTCCCATCAAAGAGCAGAGGACAGAACCGAAAGTGTGTTGTGTTGATGATTACGCAAAATTAGATGTAATTAAGCACCTGGAGAGAGCAGAGAACAGGAACAGGTTGATGCAGGAATTCAATGTTGGCTCGTCTACAATCTATGACATCAAGGCGCAGAAGGCAGAGTTACTCCAGTTCGCGACAAATTTTCAGACAATGCCGTGCTCTGCACAAACCAAAATTGAAGCAATTCGACAAGGTATTGTTTGAATGGTTTGCCTTAAAACGTTCGGAGGGAGCTCCAATTTCTGGCCCAATGCTGACTAATGGAAATGACCGAGGCCTGCGTTTTCCCAGATGGATGGTTGTTTTGTTTCAAACTTTGTCATGGTATTAGAAGGCTTCATGTGTCTGGTGAAAAATAAATCTGCTGATCATAATGTAACATTTTCTAGAAATTGATTGAGAAGCACAGCGGAACCCCAGAGCAGATCTCCAATGCTGATGAAATTGGCCTTTTTTGGTATTGTTTGCCAACTTCTACTCTTCTTTGGTTCTTTCGGTAAAGTCACGTAGAATGAGAATAAAATAATAAATTGTTAAAATAAAATAACACAATAATATTATTGTTTTATTTTATCAATTTATTATTTTATTCTCATTCTACGTGACTTTACCGAAAGAACCAAAGAAGATGAATCATTGCAGTCACGAAAGCTTTAAATCGAAACTTCTACTCTGGCTGGTACAGGTGAGGTTGGTGCAGCTGGTTTTAAGTAGAACAAGGGCCACCTGACTGTACCTATGTGTGCAAATGCAGCGGGCACACGTATAATGAAGTTATTAATGGTGGGAAAATTCACGAGGCACAACGTAATGCATGGAAGAGGAAATATTTTTGTACTGGTTTTTACCAATGAAAGAGCATCTGATGAAACTTGGAAAGCCAAAAGACACACATTCTTCTAATTTTAGATAATTGTTGAGCCTCGCCCTCCTGAAAAGTTTCATAAGTATTAACTCTGATAACAAGCATGTTGGATTAACCGGCACCCTCCATTCCCCATGGATGTTGGATAGCAGATTTTATTGTAGAATAGTAATGCAAATTATTCACCCAGGCAAGCCTTACTCGGTCTGAAGGCTCTATTTTTGCAGGGCCTTGAATTGCACTGTTTGGTCACTTCCATTATCGATCAGGAGAACCCCAAGAATAACCACAACGCATGTGAGGAGCAACACTTATCGCTTGCGTATCCGAACCACCTCAGAGGCTCATGCCTACAAAAGCTGGTAAAACCTCGTGGGTCACCCTTAAGTACAAACAAGGCTTAACCCTGCTTAGCTTCCGGGATCTGACAGTTGGGCACTTTAAGGGTGGTTTGGTCATAGGCAAGTTTGCACTCCTCTAAAGGTATCAGAACATTTTGAAAAAAATGTGATGAACTGCTATATCGTATCTTCTTAACATTGCCACATAACTTGACAGAGGAACCACACAAAATATTTAGTTTCATCCATCTCACATTGATAGCAGTGCTATTTACTCTAGTCTTTCAATTTCACCTGTGATCAAGTAGCCTCTGGTTGAAAATATTGGTGTTGATTAGGTATGAATCATTCTAGAAAACAATGCTTGGGCCTCTTCTGAAACCACAAGTTAATTTCAAAGCACTGACACTGAAGTTCGAGGCAATCTGTGATGACAGCCACCCATAACTATTGAAAATGTCATACAATTTTGTGCATTGCCCGGACATGCAATTTTGTAAGACAGATTTAAAATGTTGATAATATAGCTTTCATGCATTAATCTTTGTACTTATCTCAAACATATGCTTTATTTATTTATCCTTGCAAGAACCCACTGAGTGGTAAATATTTAAACAACGTCGCCGATAGTTAAAGCTCCTGAAGGGAGAGTGATCGGTAGTGGTGCGGTGATGGATGGCGTGTGCATAGGTGTGAGGATGGAGTGAAGACGACTACGCTGTCACCAAACCCCGACAGCCCCGTGCACATCGACCTCGCAGGCGACAGAGCACAGGTATTGAGATCCGCATTCCCCACCTCATCTCAATCTGTTACGACTCGTGCAAGGAGACACTTTCCAATAGGCTTCGTGTTGTTTCGCACAGGGGTGAAAAGGGACAGCAGCAAACAGTACTGTTCAAGGTTGCAACAGATAAAGAGAGCGTTGATGTACTCTGTGGTTTTTTCGGTAAAGTCACATAGGTAAAAAATTAAACAAATGAAAAAACAACTCAATTAAATCACGACGTTTCGGGCGCAACACAAGCGTCCTTCTTCAGGTTGGGACAACGTAGCGAAAGCACAAACGCTTAAGTGTGTCTCAGAGATGGCTGTGACGATGGATTATATATTCGCGGGAGGGGGGGTGAGTCCATGGAGAGTGTGGGGGTGGGGTGTGTGCGCTGGGAGGGAACGACTGGAGCCGAAACTGAAGCTTTGTGATGTAGGTGGCGGAAGTAGATAAGCAAGCTAGGATTAAGCCGCATTTGTTTTATTTTTTACCTACGTGACTTTACCGAAAAAACCAAAGAGTATGAATCCTTGCAGTCACGAAAACTTCAAATGTAGAAGAGAGTTAACGTGTTTCCTGAATTGCACACAGTTATAAAAGCTTGGGAAAGAGACGTGTTTTGTACTGCAGATAGATTCACCCCAAGACAATAAAACAATAGTTATTAATGCAGCATATACACAGTTTGGGATTATGCATGCGTCTTTGAATTGGAATTTAAACATATCTTGCACAAATGCATACATATTCCATGTGGTTGGCAGCTGTTGCAATGACTGTCATACAGTCCTGTACGTGCAGACCCACTCTGCAAATTAGTACACAGCTGTAGAGCATCAGCCAAGAGGGTCACAGGAGATGAGTTATTCATTATGTTATACTGCCCTCAGATACTCGTAAGCGCCATTTAGGAGTGATTTCACATGTAGGAGGAAATTGCAATTTACAGATAGAAACCTAAGAATGTGAATGGATAACAACTCAGCACCCAATGAAAATTCAACCGAAAGAGAGATTGAATCCTTTAGATACACAAAATGCAAATTCAATTCAAAGATGGATGCAATCCTTTGATAAATATAACATTTTGTATCGATGTATCTGGATTTGCAGGTAACTTTTCAAATTTGGAATATTACAGAATATGACGCCAAGCAAACATTGGCCTACTCCTACGAAACATGTCACGACAGTTTCCGTCCACTGTGAATCGGACGCATCACACTATTATGGTCATTATACCCTCCGTTACAATCTGGGCGGCTGTTGCATTCAAACTATGCGCCTCTGAAAGAGTCGACGAACGTGCTAAGGCTTGGTCCTGTAATATACGACCCTGTTATCCGTGACTTCTATGTTATGATACATGAGTCCTTACCGATGTCACGGATCTTACCACAAACCCATATTATTAATGTTATTGTTATTATTACGTACAATTTTGCACATATTAGTTAAAAAGCAAATGTAGTCATGGGCAGGGACTTAATTTGCCTATTAGTCGTGGAATTCTCAGGTATTTTCAGATAAGCATCGGGAGGACAAGGAACAGCCTTAGATGGAAGGCTAAAATGCATGTCTGCGATGCTGCGGACAGTATTTGGAGTTAATATCACCCAAGTTTGATCTCAAACCTGATATTTTTTATTGTTTAACTTAATTTTCATTTTTATTTCACAACATAGTGCTAACATGTGCTGTGTTGTGCGTAACAGCCAAACATTTGAATTGTATATTTAAATTTTGCTTGTAATTAGGCTTCAATATATTTTTATATCATGTACTTTTTTCTCATTTGCAGTTTTTGTCCAATCCACCACTGAATTTATCTCGTTTTACACCTTATCTCTTTCTATGTTCTGCAGCTAAATTCCTATTTTATTTTGTGTTCATTTACATTTTAAATTTGTTAAAAATACTTGCTTTGTTGTTGACTGCATATGACTAAATGTATGTGAACATACAATTATGTACTTGATAACTGCAAATACAAGTTGACACACAGATCCTTAAAGCATGTGATAATATACACAAAAAAATAACACATTATACTCTAAAGGGTCTCCATATTTCACCACCATAGGTAATTTGCGCAGTACAGTGTCGCAAATACAAACTTAAAATTTCTGACTAATCTGCACTGAGTTCCTTTCTTTATAGTGGTCTGCAGGGATGGTTAGAATAACATACTCATAAATCTACATTGTTCGCAGCTTCAGTAAGGATGTTTCACTTTCTTTTTAGTTAATTTCAGCCTACGCTAAAATAAAAGGAGCAGCTGCTAAACGTCCCTTGATAATTCTACAACTAATCTACAGTGTAACTTTTTTTATTTGTTATCTTCCCATTTGTGATGCACAGTAATTCCTATTTTATGTTAATCTCCACGTTTTTTAATAACAATTTGAGAGTTCAAGAGATGTGTTTAAGCCGCGATATTGTGGTCCTGACGGCACAATTTTAGTCGGCGTTTTTTTTGCATCTGGGGTACAAATAAGATTGTCACATGCGTGATTCCCGTGACACAGCACATGGCATTACTACGCTGAAATCAAATTGATCAGGGCAGACTTCAGAGAAGATGCCATTCAAAGAAACATAGAAATTTTCATATACATGTCTCGTGACATTGACGGTGCAGAAATCGCACCACCGCGATGCGGTTAGGCCACTGTCAACTTTCGTCTCATTTTCTCGCGAGCAAAGCCGCAACCTCATGTCAGCCTCAGACACAGTCAAGGTGTGTATCTGCAAAAGAAGGGGTGTTTGTTTTTTTGGTGACATTTTCTTTTCACAGCAGTTGTGCCAAAGCAGTGATGCTTGGTCACATTTGCTTCTCCTCTGCCATGGAGAGACATGGGCATTATTGTTCAGCTCTAAAACGTCCACTAGTTGGCAGCATTTTGAACTGGAGAATTCCTTGCACTTCAGGCTGAGGTGTTGTGTCACTCGGATGATGTGTGTGACCTATGAAACACAACCTGACCCATTAATTACAATTTCGATGTATGTACAATTTAAAGGCAACCACATCTGAAGACGCTGAAAAGAAAAAGTGGCCATTTTATATATAGAGAGAGGCATTTATAGGCAGAGGGAAAAAGGAGAGTCTTGAGCCTAGATTTGAATAGGAGCAACAGCATGGATGGTTGGGGAAAGGAGTCCAATATTAGAGGGCAGCATTGTATAGAGCATGTAAAGCACTCGGATATGCCCTTACGTTAAGGACACTGAAATATACATAATGAACAATTTGATTTGAATAGAAATCCTTGGTTATTGGAGTGGAGAATGTGTGGAAGGGAGTGGAGTGAGATGAGAGGATAAACGTAGGCCATGGAAAATCCATAGAGGATCTTGAAAATGGTGAGCATGATCTTGAAATGTATCTGGAATTTAATATTTGGAGCCAGTGAGGGGATTAGAGGAAGTTGCAGGTAATTTTTTTTAATATTGGGATATTTGGCCAATATCAGTTACATTGTTTTAGCTACCTGGGAGGGAACTGGAGAGTATACAGAACCATTTGGAAAGGCACACGAGTCGGGAATCAAACCCAGACTCTTCTTGCGGTGAAGCACAAGTGTCACCACTACACCACCCTTCAACTTTCCAAAATTGCTTGATGTGATTGGTTGTCAGCTTTTACCCTCCAAAACATTGAGATTTCAACCCAATCCAAATGTCGAGATACACTGATTATATGAGGGAAAATAATTTAGATGAATGGCAGAGTCGATAACCCATGCCGATGCTGCATTATATTTTACTAAAGCTTGAATGTAGTTGAGAAACTCTGAGGCTGAGGAAACTCACTGTGCTTGTGGTGTGTCATTCTTTTGATGTTATCCTTGATTGTTACAAGTTGTCTTCAAGCGGCAAGCGGAGGAATCTCATGCCCACTTTGGACAAGAAGGTGCAGGTTATCAAGAGGTTCAACAATGTTGATACTGCGTCCCACCTTGCTGCTGAGCATGGCTGCGGTAAAAATACTGCTCATCACCTTCACCCCAGCAGGGACAAAATCCTGTCGCACGTGTCATCATCTAACAGCACAGAAGGGCCCTTGCGAAGGAACAGCACAAAGACTGCTGTCGTGCAGCAGTTGGACTCGGCACTTTTCTCCTGGTTCAAGCAGAGACAAGCCGCGGGCAAGTCCATCTCAAGCCGTGCGGTTGTCGAGAAGGCCCAGCAGTTGCACCGTGATCTTGGAATAAGTGAGCCCCTCAATGTTGGGTGTGGGTGGCTGCACCGTTTTATGCACCGACATGGCATTCATGGCCTGAATCCTCAACCAGAAAGATTCTCCACTGAAGATTGTGCCACGTCCGCCTTTTGTAGGCGGTTCCTTAGGCTGGTAGATGCACACGCCCTGGTGCCGGATCAGTTGTATGGAGCCACAGAGTTGGAATTGCACTGGAAGGGTGTCTCAGTGGCTGGCACGGCGATGGCTGCTCCTGACTTTATTGATGATGAGGAGCCGATTGCTGTGTTATGCTGTGCAAATGCAGCTGGAACTCATCGGCTCCCTCTGGCATTTATTGGTCGAGCTAGCAAGAGTAGGGTCCTTAATGGTCTGAACGAGGGGTTCCTGCCAGCTGTCTACTTCCAGCAGAACCCTACGCAGTCTTACAGTGACATCTGCATGACCTGGTTTCACCACAACTTCATCCCTGCCGTGAAAGACCACCTTAGTACACAGGGTTTGGCCCACAAAGCTGTCCTGGTCCTGACAGATACACCATCCCACCCTGAAGCACACCCCCTGCATTCAGTATCAAATAACTGCCATATTTTCGCAGTGTACATGCCACCAAGCGTAGCACTGAAGCTTCAGCCCATGGAACAGGGTGTTGTACAGAGCCTCCATCAACATTACATGTGCGGCCTGCTTAGCAAACACTCGGAAGATACGTTAACCTCCCCAAAGGAGCACATAGTGATGGACGTGCTGCTTGGAGCCGTGGCCGCATGGACGCAGATAGAAACAGCGACGCTTATGGCCTCCTGGCGTGAGCTCTGGCCCAGCGGTGAGAAGCTCACAGCTTTCAATCCGGCGCAACTTGAGAATGGACATCGACATGAGGCAACGAACATGGCACTTCTCCATTGGCAGACAGGGAAGACACTAGGGTGCAGAGATGGATATGAGGAAAACATGCAGACTGGGTGCACCTGGGATGACAATCAGCCCAGCTACAAACTTCCCAAAGATGAGGACGGAGCAGGGGAAAATTATGGTCATACAGATTATAGTGCTAGTTGCTTTCATAATAAAACTAGTGGCATTGTGCTAGATGGGCATTGTGTGGCTAACATTACTGGAGAAAATTACGAGCATGTAGCAGAGCAGAATCGTGGCGAGGATGTCAATGGGGATGATGAGGTTAATGAAGATGATGACCCTCCTGCCCAGAATGAAGTCAGTGCAAGGAGTGCCCTTATGGCTCTGGAAACAGTGATGCAGTTTCTGGAGCAACAGCCAGACACGGACCACCAGGAGATGGTGCAGCTCCTCGGCACCCGCCGCAAGATCAAATCCAAACTCTCCGTGTCTTTACGCAAGGAAGCCATCAGGCGTTTGCTTCACGGTCATGGACACCTACGCCCAGGAAAGTCTCCTCGTTCTGGCCCGCATTGTTCGACTACGATGAGCTTATAGAGGCCAAACATCCAATTACACGGCTATCTCACTAATGTTGCAGTATCCCTTTGCCCGACTCCCATTTCGAATCATATATTCCTGATCGCATATCGTCTCGATGAAACAGTGTTTCATTGTGAACAGTTGTAATTGTATATATATTAATTATGGCCTTGGTATAACAGCTTGGATAACTGGCTCACTTTTGACTGAATAATATGCCATTTCATTGTGAAATACAAATATGGCTTTTGATAAAAGGGCACACATCATAGAGAAATGCAAGTTGAAAATTATAGTGAGTGACAAAAAGAGGAGCAGTTGGATCATGAAATAAATATAAATTTGAGACATCAGATGCACTATTCAGACAAATATATGGATTTTGGCACAACAAAACTACGATGCAATGCTGACTGATGGGTGAGACGCGTGAAGGAATAGCAAGGAAGGGAAACGTGCCCGAGAAGAAGACTACTGTGGAGATGGAGCATTGCGAAGGCTGCCGATGATGATGGAATCGCTCTTATTGGTTGAAGTATATGTTAGCTTTTTAAATGTAATGAATAATCAATTATATATGGATCAGGAAAAATGTGGCGGACTTAATAAGAATCTAAAGCTTAAAATTGTTCAATCAAGGAGACTCTTGAAGTCACTTTGAGCATTAGTTACATAATCAGATCTTTATATGGATCATTCAGTGGTATTCCACTCTTTAATCAAACCATCTAGTTTGGCATGTTAGTGAGAGATTTTCATTGGCAGTGCAAGGTGAACAATGTAGCACGTGGGGGGTTTTTTGGTTAAAGTTGTCTCCAGGTGCATTGACCATGGGTGGCACTGCACTAATCTCCTGTTTACAGCCCTGAGCCAGCGGTATGATCCTACATTTCTATGGTGGGTGCAAATGTAATTATCATAGGCCAACTGTTGATGAATTCCCCACAATTGTTAATGGGAGAGGTGACATGGCCAAGTTGTGGCTGGGTTCGATTGTTGCAACGGTTTTCGGTAATACTGAAGGCATTAACCAAAAATACGCACCGTCTACTTTACAGTGGACGTTGAGAGTCAAAGCTATGTGCACCAGTGTCGTGCTCTGAACTTTCCAGAATTGAATAATTAATCACACATTTTTAATTGGGATTAAAGTACCAACAGAAACATTGCCTCCGACCGGCAGACGAATGCCCACTTGCAGGCTGGTGCTGCGTCACCTTGTGTCGCACACAGACAGCTGTCTTCAGGGGGGTTTCTCCGCAAGGATAAAAAAAGAAAACTACCTCTGGGCATTGGAATGGTTGAGATGAGACATTGTGTCATGTGCATTTGGATGTTGGGTCAAGCACCCAATAAATGGGAATCTTTTATGTAGGAAAATAATAAATACATTGGTATAGCCTCATGCGTTTTTCTTTTATCTGACCCGCCCAATTGCTTCAGAAAATTGAGAGTCGACGATGTATCTGTATTTAAACATGATTTAATTGTACGTGTGCTTTTCCCCCCAAATTTCTACTTTTTAAATGTTATTTGAGCTTTTGTTATAGTTGTATTGGGTTTTTATAGAATGTATTTCACCGGGTTACAATAAGATGATACCAAAATTGTAATGTAACAGATGCAAAGTAACAGAGATGTGCATAATTATGAATACGTGCATCACTCATAAATGATTTACTTAAATCAATTTAACTGCATTGATTTATTTAATTTTCAAATACTTAGTTCTAAGGGTTAACTCTTGAGTAATCAATAAAGTAATTCCGGATGTATGTTTTGGTGCTTATTACATGGATAGTGTTAATTATTCTGCTGCTTTGTGCATCCACACCTTTAGGACTGGATTCTAATGAGTTTTGCATATTAAACGCATATTTAAGTAATGTGTAGTTGAGTATATCTCTTGCATTTTTTATACAAGCATGCTGGGGCGAAAGACCTATAAAAGCTTCTCAATTTGCACCTTCGATTAGCACGGTTGGCTAAGAAGTTCAAGATACATACCCACATGTGTTTTTATTCATGTAGTTGGTGTTGTTGAAATGAGATAATGTCCTTTCTCCAGGAAAGCTTCCCTAATTCCCAAGACCCTTTTTCAGAAGGATCCTGCTTTCAGCTTCATGGCCAAATCCATTAATGAGCTGTATACCCTCACGCATAATAGCAGCTTATATTTAAGTGTCTGCACAAATGGATTGTTGATTAAATCAAGTTACTGCATTTTGGCAACCTCACAGCCCGTTTTGGTTTGAAAATTTATAAATCTCCATGATCCACCAGTCCTTCTCTTTCAAGTGCCTACATTGGGTGTCAACCTATTCTGGTAAATGGTGCTTTACTCGGGAAATAATCTGATATCCGAATTGATGTGGTAGAGTACATACAAATGAACCTTATGGCGGGTACCCCGGGTTACCATAGTACCTCGGCTCTCGCATAATGTCCGTGATGCAGTCACTTTCAGTCTGTTGATGGTCGGCGATGCGGCAATCGACTCATCTCGACGAGCTGTACTCACGATGCACCACCACGGTGCGTGCCGCGAGCGTTCAGGGTTTCAGCGCAATCGTCCTCGCAGCGTTTCAACATCACGGAGTAGCACTGATTTCGGATTGATTGGTACCCCAGTTGCGGAGTGAAGTACACCCCTGGAAAAAAGAGTGTCCCAGAAATAAAATATTTAATTGCCTTGGCCATTTTGTATTATTTGGTACCCCGGGGTACCGCCATAAGGATCAAATAAAGATTGGATTTATAAAAAAATATATAATGCACCCTTTGTCAATGAAGACCTCCCCCATACCCTGTCAGTCATGGTGGGGTTGTTGCACAATTCTTCATCATCCTGTGATGTTACTCAAAAACAGCAGGCCATTGTGTACCTTCCTCGGTCAAAATTTGCCAATTAAAAAAATTGGGATTGCACATAGCAACATTTCCTGTCACTATGAAACCTCCACCCTGAAGGAGATGGCACGTACTTTAAAAGTAATTAAGATGGCTTTTAAATGTATGTTCAACATCTTATTATACTCTAGATTCTGTACTCGAAAATAAAACCGATGAATATTTTAAGACCTGGCTGTTTGGATTTAACAGATTAGTACGGGTCGAGGATGTGAAGAAGTTAGCCTTGGTTGCTCGTGATGGGGAGCATGTGGACAGCATTGACCTGGGTTTCTTTCAGTCCTCTACAATAGCTATACCATCCCCATGATACCTGGAATTGATGGAATCTAAATGCCACATTCACAGAGATTGCCACATTCACAGATAATGCAACTGACATTTCATTAACATTCGGGATTATAAGAGCAGCCTAGCTTGAGTTTTTGTACTTCATCCAATGGTAGTACCTGCTTAAAAAAACATCTTTGAAAAAATGAAAGCAAGATTTGGTAAACGTGTACTTGGAGCGATTATAGCAGTTTGTCTTAGCATGGCAGGAGCCATGGTCATGAACATATTTCCATATTATTAAAATGTATACGAAGCCTTTAGCACAACTTAATCTGTTTGCTCCTTGTATTCACTCGCGGGGGGCTCCTGATGCTTTGTAAGTGTTTGCCTTTATATTGCTTTACACGTACAAGTTTTTAAGTTACTGCTTTGGGGAGACAGTGAAACAAAGGGGTCATTAATTCTAGATTTGAAGCTTTCGTGGCTGCAAGGATTCATACTCTTTGTTTTTTTTTCGGTAAAGTCACGTAGGTAAAACAAAATAAATGAAAACAACTAAATTAAATCACGACGTTTCGGAGGCAACACAAGCATCCGTCTTCAGGTGGAACAGTCACAGCAAAAAAGCTGTATCAGAGCTCTTCACTTGATACAGCTATTTTGCTGTGACTGTTCCACCTGAAGACGGAAGCTTGTGTTGCCTCCGAAACGTCGTGATTTAATTTAGTTTTCATTTATTTTGTTTTTCCTACGTGACTTTACCGAAAAAAAAACAAAGGGGTCATGTTCAGCTCGAGACCATTCAAACATTTCGGCAAGATTCAAGTGAGCATGCTGCTTTGCTCACTGTCATCCTATCAGTGCCTTTACCCCATTCCAGTGTTTTGTTTAACATATGTCTTTGTGTAGTGTCTATGTTTTGCATTCAACATCTGCACTTACTCTTTAGCTTGGCCTCCCAATGCACAGCCTGATTAAAAAGTACACAATTACATTCTTAAGTGTAATTGTAATTTGATAACATGAGACCAAATGCTAGCTAGCGGCATCCTCAGAGTAAAGCGCCTAACACACACAGCCCCAAAGTGATGAAGTTGCCTCACACCTCGGTTGTCTCGTGCACGTGTGTATAATGTTACTGACAACGTAACTGAAAAGCAAACAACCCCAACAGTTGTTTTCCTTTTGTGCTTACAACCTATCAAGATTGACCGCAGGGGCATCTATAAGCTGCTGACCATTGAGCAGAAGGTCGAGCTAATCAGAAGGCTGCGTCAAGGCGAGACGGTGTCCTCGCTCGTGGCCGAGTACGGTGTTGGCAAGTCGACGGTCTACGACATCAGGCGCACGGCGGACAAGATCCTGGGGTACGTGGCGGGCGTGGACAGGCTAGCTGAACCTGCCAAGGAACCTGCCAAGCGCAAACGCATGACCAAGGCAACCCTGGCCGATCTCGATAATGCTATCTTCGAATGGTTTCGCCAGATGCGGGCGTGCAGCGTGAACGTAGACGCCCCCGCGCTCTGCTTGAATGCCCTACGACTGCACGCACAAATGGAAGTTGAAGAGCCTTTCACGGCGAGCTCAGACTGGCTCAAAGGCTTCAGCAGCCGCCACGGCATCCAGCCATTGCCGCCACTGTCCGAGCCTATGGAAATGGATCCGCTCAGGGTGGCACTGGAGGAGGCAAAGCATGCAGGTCTGACACGCGAGCAGGTCTACAATGCGGTTGACACGGGGATCTTCTGGAAGCGCTTGCCCTCGAAGAGCATGGTGTCACGCAACGCCGAGACCTCTCTGGGCAGCGAAGCTGCTGGGTACAGAGTCATGGTGCTCTTATGTGCCAATGCTAGCGGGACGCACCGTCTTAAGCTCGCCGTGGTGGGCAAGGCGAAGTGGCTGAGGGTCTTCAAAGGCCTGGAAGCGCTGCCAGTGGACTACTACACACGTTACAGCACACGTGGGGTGGAAGCTGCGATGCTGCGAAGATGGTTCAAGCAAAGGTTTGTGCCAGCCATCCGGCAGCACTTGCGTGCCAAAAAATTGCCCGAGCGAGCTGTCCTCTTCCTCGACTACGTGCATTCGCGCACACAAGCCAGCATTGAGAGCGACTGTGGAGACATCAGGTTGGTGTGGCTGCCGGCTGGCTCCGTCTCTCCCCTGCGTCCAATGTGGTCGAGTGCCATCCGTGCCTTCAAGAGGCACTACCGCTGGAGGCTGTTAGGGCGGATGCTGCGACCGCCAACTTTACCCGACGTCCATGGCGAGCGTGCTTTAAGATCGTGGGGGCAGCACTCCATTAACGACGCCCTTGTCGACACTGCCTCTGCCTGGGAGGATGTACGACCGGAGATTCTGCAGAAGTGTTGTACGAAGCTTTGGAAGTCTGGGGAGTTGGAGGAAGCAAGTGGAGCAGAAAAAACACACGGGTCAGAGGGGGTTGAGGAGCCTTCGACTGTAGCATTCTTGGAGAGGATTAAGCAACTGCCCCTTTTGTGTGACGTGGATAAAGCTGATGTTGAAAAGTGGCTGACTCATAATGATGAGGAAGAGGTGGAGGAGAAAATGTTTGATAACCCTCGCAATCCTTCGTCGTGTAACGGGCAAACTAAACATAGGAACTTAATTGTGCAGAATGAGGATGGCGACAGTGGGGAGGAGCGCATGGAAGAGGATGGAGAAAGGTTTGGGGTGGTTGAAGCAGCCGACGCGAAGTCTGCAGCGTTCGCAGTGCTGAAGTACATGGAGCAATGTGGAGACTTTAATCCGGAGATGTGCAAGCAGATGCAAAGCATTGCAGAACTCGTGGGCAAGCGAGCATGTGCAGGTCAAAATAAGAGTCCGTAGTTTCTTCATGGCAAAAACGTCCTTTATTATACAGTTGATATACTTTCAGGATTGCATAATTCGCCATAACATGCAACGTTTGTTTTACATTCAGCCACCAGGTGCATCATTTTACCATTTGTTCAACAAGGTGCACTGTAAGTGCACGTGAAACAGCATAACTTCAACAAAAATGTATTGTCAATCCATGCCCTCAGTCTGCAGTGCGGGTGTCAAAAATATGAAACATTCGAAAGTCTGCGCCATTCGTGTCTTTCCCAGAATGGTCATCAGGGGGCGTGATAGTCCACGAGTTGCCAGCAAGCACCCTGTACTGTATTCCCTTGTGCTCTTTAGTCTTCTGCACAATGTCAGATCCTTGGCTCAAATTCTCTCCAGCCTGTCTAAAGCTTAAGCTGCTTAAATTTCACTGTAATGCCCCCCTTCGAGTTGTGCAGCAGCATATTCCCTTGGACCTTGTTCCCAATATACTAAATGCAGTGGCGGGCCGTGTATTTTACACCTAGGCCTTCAGTGCTATCCTCCCGCAATTAAACCGATTTCGAATAACCTGACTATGACACTAGGGGCTATAGGCTATTGTCATTCGACGTAACCATCCCATATTCACCGTGACAGTAACCTTTATCGAGCGGAATAAAGTGATTTAACACGAGGCTGTGAGAGTTACAATACACTAATTGCAGAGACATGAATACATGGTGACTGAAACCATCAAGGATGTACCACTATTACGCAGGATGACAGGATGCTGCATCACAAATAGACATCACATAGCCCAAATCAATGTCATTACCAAAGAAACAAGAACAAACTCGCAACAACCATATTCTTAGCTCTTTCGGTAAAGTCACAT